AAAGTAGTAGGTCTTTAAATAATGCTGAATAGCAGGGATTAGATTTACCTTTTGCATTGTTCCCATGATGCACTCATGCTTGCAGTGTCCAGAGATGACAATGGGAAGGGATCAGCACTGGGGGGCAGGTCTCTTTCGATGCCGCTGTCGTTGGACATTACGGAGAAGCGAGTCATGTCAGATGGCATCAGGTCACTGGGCGACTCACCCAGCTCAAAGTCTTCCTGCTCCTGGCTGAGGGAGAACTGCTCCGACATGGAGCTGGATCGAAACCAGTTGCCCAGCTCTCGCCCTGTCAACATTTCAACAGTCATCACTTACATGTGATTCAGAGGTTGAAACTCACATTGAACAAGGCAGCATAAGCCCCAGCACAGACTGAGACGCAGCACGGAACAACACATCTCATCCGGACTGGCATGTAGACATACGTCTCATCATAAACAGACCATAGACATGAGTTTCCAGCTGTTTTGTTATGGAGCTGCAGGGTACAGATGCCCACTCATCCTTTGAGGAAGGAAGCTGCTGGTGTGATATTATAAACCTTTCATCTGAGAATCTATTCACAACCCCACGGGGATGAGTGCACAAATGTGATCAGCGCCTGCCTTGTGATCCCTTGGCATTTAGTGCTTGTTGATGCAGCAATGCATACAGTACATAGGGAATAATGACTGTCCTTTATTTACAGTTAAGAGTGTGTGAGTTTAGACAGTAAACTTAATTAAGATATAATGCAAGACAGGACATATCTTGTTCATTTAAAAATCACATGAGGCTATCAGAGCTTTTCACTGAATGTACAGCTACGATGATTTACACCTTTACTGTGCAACATCCTGTACCGAGAATATAAAGACCATACTGTGTATGTATGTATGTATGCAGTGTATGTCAAAGTCAATTTCATAGTTCAATTGATTCAATTCAAATCTGTTTGGTTTAAATCAGTTTGGTACATCAAGTCTGAGTCCAGCTCTGATAAACTCAGTTCAACATAAAGGAACAAGCTACCTCTCAGATATTCTCAGACTGTGACAGGGTGTTAAGTGCTATAATTAGTTGTTTGCACATTGCCTCACACTTCTATTTTAGAAAATGATTTCTGAGGTATTTCAGAATAACTCAAGAGCAATAAGACAAAATGTACTTAAGGTAAATTTTTTTCTCTATTTCAAATCCCTTCTCTTTATTCAGTTCAGTTTTCAGTTAATAATTCCAGTTTCAGCCTAATTCAGTTTGGCTGACTGTTTTTAACAACTTCCTATAGACCCCCCACAGTGTCCAGGAGCCACTCACAGATATCCAAATCCTCCGTCCACAGGTGGAAGCTCATCTCTGGGTTAGGAAGAGGGCAGTCGCACAGTGGTCCACTCGACAATGGCTCTGATACACACACACACACACACACAGGAAGAGAGATAGGAAGAGACCAAAACTGTCACAATGACACTCAAAACAAAACATCGCAAACTTCCTCCCTGCAAACACCACTGTCTGTCCCTCAATCTCCCAGCTTGGATGAGGGAAGAGCAGGTTCAACGGACAGGTCACTGACTCAATAATAGAATGGAAAAGAGTGGATGTCACTGAAATAGATATCCGGAAAATTACAAAAATACAGACATCTGACTCGACTGATTTAGTCGTGGAGGAAACCGGTCACACATTTGATCTCAGCTACAGCCAGCATGTGAGGCCCTTGTGGACACAGAAAACATGTCCATCACTGACAATGTGTGCTTGAACGGTGCTTGATCTGCATGTAAACAGTGCTTGTAGGCCCCGGTTTTGAATTTCAACATTTTTCGACAATAAGACTGCAAACCAGGAAAATGGTAACCATAACTTAGAACATAGGACTCATGCACAAAATATGCATACACAATCCATGTCACCTTATCATCCCTTTACAATGGAAAGAGCAACAAAACAGAAGTCATCCTAATGTAAGATAAGATTTGTATGGTTAGAAAGTTTTTATCAGTTAATATTAAGATTGCTAGAGCTTCACAGTTACATCCCCGTCTCATCTCTTACTGCTTCTTCCTCCGGTTTGTTACATAACCAGATGTGACTGTGGCTCTTGTGGTTGTCCTTCCTTCATTGATATTTACTCTAAACCAATATGTTGATATATGCCTGAGACAGAGCAGCTGTGCCTTAGAGAAACTTGCATGGCTTTTGCTGTATTTCCTTTTCAGAGAGCTTGTACCTGAGTAAGTGTTGCTGACGATCTCGTTGTACAGCTGCTGAAAACGACTCCTCAGCGCTCCCACCTCCCCTCTGCCGCCCTCCTCCGCACTCTGCTCTAGAGTCGCCAGCACTTCCTGAAAGTATGTCTCAACGTCTTGACCCATGTCCTGTCAAAAACACAAAAACACAAGTGAGTGAACACACATGCACACAGGAAGATAAACACATACAGAGTCTGTATTAATAGCAAAGAGGAGAGGGGTCAGTAGTGCGCGTGTCTGCCGTCGCGTGTATCCTGCTGAGGTGTTACTTTTGAATCAGTGCCAGGAGACATTTCCACCATAAAGCTCAAAGACAACAGACCTTCATTCCGGATGTTTCAAATGACACGTACATATCGTGGAAGAACTCTTCACCTATTTTTAAATGCAGAAGCACCTCACTTGACAATATCATATTCTACTAAAACAAGAGCCATCCTGGTGAGAACTTGCAATCACTTAAAACATCCCAATATGTAGTGACCATAGAGGTTATGCACGTGCTTTCACTGTACACAGAGGTCATTCACTTCCCCTCCAGAATTCAAATGGGAGAAATATGTAATATTGCTAAACTTGCTAAAATATATGTTGTGCAATAGGCTGTACAAAGATTGAAAAAAAAAATTCCACAGACTGGCAATGACTAAAGAGAAGGGAGAGAACGTGGAGTGATCATTTCAAAGTATCTGTACAATGTTATCTAACCAGACATCAGATATATTCACAAATAGATTTCAGTAGATAATGTGAGAATCTTCCTCCAGTGCAGCTGCCTTGTCAGAGGTAAAGACTAAAAACAGCTCAGAAAACGGTGCATTTGTCCAATCAGTTGGATGAAGTGTTAATGTTCAAGTCTGAAGGAGCACATTAGTCAGTCATGTCCAGCCTACCTGCAATAACATGTCCACATTAAACTGAGCCTTGTGTGAGGGCACATTTACTTAAGAAACAATAGTGGGCAAACTTTGTAAGATGATTGTCACAATTCAACTGTAAAGTCAAGTCACATTTGATTAAAATAATTAAGTTAATAAGTAAACAATTAAACACAGGGGATTTTAAGCCAGGCTCTGTGTTGAAATGGCAAGCATGCGGAAAAGATTCATATTTTCTTTACAAAGCCTTGTGAGTTCAAAGAAACATTTATCAGAGAGCAAAAAAAGGCAAACCTGTCGTCAACTGAACAGAACAAGAGTCAGAGAGCAAACAGACAAACCATAATAGAAACTAGAAACTATAGATGCCTATATACTGCAATGACCACAAAAGACAACTAGAAAACTAAAAATAGAAGGCAATGAGTATTGTGCAGTCCCACTGACCTTTAGGGCCTGAGCCAGTTTCTGCCCATGGCACTGCTCTGCTCCTAAAGCAGCCTGGATGGAGTGTTGGACCACACTGCGCATGTGATCAAAAGGACCTAGAGGTCCACCTGAAGCTGAAGCAGGCGCCTCAATGTCAGCCAACAGGACTTGTCCCAAAGGACCAGAGAAGACTTCTGGGTCAGCCAGAACAAAGACCCTGCAGGGATTTACATGGCATATTTGATGTTATGGACAGGGAAGTCTGACTACATGCAGCAGTACGAGGAATGAAATAAGCCCTTGTAAATCTTCAGTTCTCCTTTTCAGGCTTTTATTGCATCCTCAGCGATACATTATTTATTTATGACTCACCTCTCCTGAAATGGATAGTGGTCATTTTTTAGTCTCTGCTCTGCTGTAAGCATCCTCTGGTACATCAGACCTGTGGATCAAACCGGTGTTTAGTCACAGTATGTGGCTGCAAATCCTCATACATATTAACTGAAGCATGCTTGATTAATGGACAGTTCAATAAACATCACAGTAACCGGCATCTGCTATCTTTTAGGTTGATCAAGTTTGACTACATTTGTTGTAGTCTTTCATTGTTTTCAGTTTGGTTTAATATAGATTTTCTCTTGCATTATAAATAAATCTTGTATTTAAAGCAGGTGTAACTTAACTGGGTTAAGACACACAAGACATAATTCTAATGTCAACAGTATGAGTATTGGCTGTTTAATGATTTGCTTGACCTGACTGAGGGAATCTGTCTTTGTGACAAATGACAGCTCACAATCACAACATCATTACAAAAGACCTATGAATAAACATCAATTGTCATTGTCATCATCATCATCTCCTGGTTGTTGAGCCCCATCCAAACTGTGTGTTGTCTGTACAGGCTAAAATAGTGTGGTAACAAAAGGTAACACTGATTGGAGCTGGAGCTCCTCAAGCAGGTTGTTCTGAAGTCCTGACAGAAATAAACAGATCACTCCTGTTTTAAATTTAGACCGAGGGTTTAATAATACCTGGAATGGAGCGTTCAGTTTTTATCTGTCTTGTGTAGCTGAGGCCTACGGTGCAGTAGGGATGAGGGTAGGTCAGGAGTCTCTTACAAAAATCATAAACCCGCTTGTACAGCTCATCTGGAATGTAGGCTGCCTGGAATATCAATGACAACACACACACACACAGGTTACCATCAATACCGGTAAGGAAACAATTTACTTTTATGGTTAGAGAATGGTAATCATCACATTCTTTTTGCTGGCTTAAATATAAAGGAAAGCAATGAGACACCGGCCTAGTGGCCATGTTTTTTGGTGTCCACTTCCCTGTTGACATTTGTTCCTGGAATAGAAACACATTCCTCCTCTTTGGTACTATTTGCAGTAACAATGCTGAAACTCCCTAAGTGACATGCCTTAAAAACGTGGCAGAACTAATAAACAAACGTGTCTGGCAGATTTGGAGATTTATGTTATAAGGATGTGTGATTATGCCTGTGGTCTCAATCAAGAAATATACTCAGTCAGATTTACCACCCCCCGAAAAGGACAAGAAGAACTAGAGACAGTCATATTACGGAAATGATCTGTTCAGTATGGTTGGAAACTGATGAAGTGAAAATTTCCCCTGTATGCATTCAATGAACGGTGTAAAAAAGGAAGAAATAGCAAGTCTGAGGCTTTTCACAGTGCAACAATTTGGTAAACAGTACCTGAATAATGGCATACATAAGTGTGTGGAGCAGAGGGATGATGGATTTGCGAGAGTCCCATCTCTCAGCCTGCAGAGAAAACACACACACACACACACACACACACACACACACCCATACCCACACACACACGCTATGTCAGGGCTGCACTCGACTGATGACTGTACATTGCCACAAGATCAGCTTCTTAAATGCAAGATTAACATAAGATTTGGTATGATTTTTTTTCATATAAATCATCTTCAGTACATTTAATTCCAATCAATACATATCAAATCAATCAGATAAAGCGAGCCAGCCAAATTGTGTGCCAAGATCACTTTAGAGGGCCACTTTTAAAGTCTCCAAGAGGTGAGTGTTTGTGGTGAAGTATTCCTTTAAAACTGGTGTTCAAAATGTCAACAGTGCCACTTCTGAGATCAAGTACCTTCTCTAGCTCCTTTATCAGCACCCACACCAGAGATAAGCTGTTGGCAGGATTGTTTTGAACCTTCTTATGAAGCGTCCATCTCAGCATGCCTGCACACACAGATGAACACACAGGAACCATTAACAGATGCAAGAGATTTCCACAGGACTAACACAAACTTGATAAATGTGTCACACTTTTTCTCCATTACAGCGCTTATCCAAAATATATCTGATGACTAATAACTGAGCAGCCCTCACACTGCTGACACAACAAAATATTCCAGTGTGAGGGTCACAAGCAGAGCTGATGTCATTTAGTCTATTCAGGGTGGAAACAGAATAGCCCTGACAGAAAAACAATAAAAAAAACGTAAGTCCCCAGCAGAGAATTTAATGAGTTTTGTGATGTCTTATCGACACTGAACCATTGTGAATTAAAAAGTTGTTATTTTTGCTGTCACCACTTTTCTGAAAACTCTTAACCACAAAGAAAAAGTTAAGATAATCAGATGATATTGTTTGTAAGATTTTATATAAAACGTGAGTAGAGCCAACAGCCGAGACACATAAAACCACATCAGCGCTTCAGTAAAAATGTTCTTTTACTTGTGTTGCAGTAGATCATATTGTACCTTTGTTGAAACAGTCCGGGGACTGCTGCTTGTCCGTTTCTCTGGGCAGCACAGCCTGGATGCTGCGGTAGAGCTCTGGCTCTGGAACTGTGGGGGAGCAGCCGGCTGAGTGAGGAAGTTGAGTGGTGGGGTTTTTTAAGACTATTGAAAAAAAAGGTTTTGCTTAAAAAGACTGGCCCTGAAAAACTATGATCCATTCTACTTATTTAATAAAGAATAAACTAAAATAACTTAAAAGCCAGAGACATGTTACCAAATGACTGCGAATGTAACTGCGATGCTGCACATATTCTGTACACTGAGTCAGTGTATGTTTATTTGAGTGTGTGTGTTGTGTGTACCTGTTGGCTCCATGCTGCACATACTGCTTGAGTTATCCCAGGGGGCCTTGTTGTTCATGTCTCACATGCATTGTTGGGATATCAACTGCAAATAGAAAAAGGACACAGACAAGAACTGTCAGTCATGTTCTCTTGTGTCTGAGGTCAAACATTAAGTGGGCGGACAGTCTTAGCTCTACCTGACTTATGGCAGGCTGACAGTAAATGTGGGTAACCAATGAGTCTTTTTTGCTATCTGCTTGCTGAGTGTAAAATTACACAGATACGTTTAATGAAGCTATTTAAAAAACTATCTCTGTTCACAGGCGGGCTGACAGTAATATCTCTATCAGCATGTGTAAGTTTCTCTTTCTGTAATTGTGTGGGAAAAACGTACTGCCTCCAGTTAAAACATTTATGCCAGTGTAGTTACTGGTTATTCAAAGGGTTAACTCTACCCACACAGACACCTTATAACACATATACAGACCTACCAACACACACTGATGATTAACAGGTGCAGTGGTCCCACACTAAACTTCCCCAAAATGTGTTCCTACAAGTAAGTGCGACTACTTCAACCCTCAAGCCACTTTCTTTATCCCAGGGCCCACATAGATTTATGAGTCACCTCTCAAATCTCCACAACACAAAATTCAAAGTGAAATTTGGCAAAATATACCTAAACAAAAAACACCCTTATGGTATTAATATATCCAAGATAAATGTGAGACCATCAAAACCACAACAAACACTGGTTGGTAATCTGCACAGGAAATTGAGTTTCCTGCAGCATTTACATGCAATTCTTCAAAAAAAAAAAAAAAAACTCCACTACTCTGCTCTCAACATAGTGACCATAACTCATCCTTACAGAACAGCTTTTGTGCAAATAGAGAGCTCATGAACCTTCGCGTAAACATAAACCAGAAGTATTCTCACAACATCATAAGAACACTGAGTAACAGAAGCAAGAAAACAGGATGAAAACAAATGTTTTTGCTTTCTGAAACTCAGTTAACTCCTTAGCCACCACATAAATCAAAATGTCCAAACGTACAACTGTAGCACCACACGAAGCAATAAAACTACCAAAACCTTTCTCATCCATTTCCCATCGGTAGAATTTACCAGTCAAAGTACAACAGGTGTAAACTAGATATAGATAAACTTACCCTGTTCTGTACAGGCACGGACCAAACATAACTGCAGATCTTTCACATCCACACAGTACGCTCTCTGTACTGAAACTAACAAGTGTGTGACACAGAGAGAAAGAGAGAGAGAGAAAGAGAGAGCAAGGGAGAGCGAGTCACAGTCAAGCGAGAACAGCGATTCGTTGCTGAACGTATTTCCTCTTGTGCGGCTCTACGACGTAGCAACAGGGGATAAGCACTGTGTGCGTGTCAGCGGAGTTGAGGGGGAGGTGGAGAGACGAGAGAGGGGGAGAGAGTGTTAGTGTTTGTATGTGCAGGTGTTGGGAGTGTGTCAAAGAGTCATAACCTGTTTGAGTTGTGGTTAGTTGTCTCAAGGCTGAATGTATTTGTTTCTATTTTTTGGTCTTCTGACTCAAATTTACTCACGCCATTTTGCTCTTTTTTTAGATCAATTTCTCTCATCCTCCCTCACACACAAACACACGCACACACGCACGCACGCACGCGCACACACACACACACACACAGACACACACGCTGGGCAGGGGGTCATTCAACAGGCTGTATCTATACAATGAAAGGAATTTGTGTGGTGTGATTTAGCCTTGATCCCTCTAAGAAAAGCAGTACTTTCAGAAACAGCGAGTTAACAGTGCTGCCTCAGCAGCTGAATGCTGCCTGTTTAAACCACAAGTTTCCGGTTGCCTTCAGCGTATTCACTCTATGTCAGTCTTTCATTCTCCCTCCTCCATTCTCTCCATCTCTCTGTTTACATCTTCAGACATCTATCAGGGGTCTGTGATAAACATGATGTCTCAAAAGATAGTTTTGTTCCTCTCTTTATTTCGCTGCATACAGACACAGACACATATTGGACTGCATTGATATAATGAACTCACTATGCATGTACATACACATATACACATTCATGCAAAAAGGATTTGTGTGCATGCACTGACTCTTGGCCCACATAGCTGGGCAAACTTACACCCTGTTTTTAACCTCAGACAAACTATTAATGCAGTGTAGGAGCTAACACATACGCAGCATTTCCTTTCTGTCAGAATGAGTGGGCAGATGACTATTCTATATTTAGACAGACAGAGAGAGAGAGAGAGAGAAAGAAAGAGAGAAAAGCTGAAAGAGAGTGAGACAGAAGGAACCACAGTTTAAAAAAAGTTTTAAAATAGATGCACCACATTATTTACAACTTTCCAAATAACCGTAGCTCGGGAAAAACCGTCTGCAGAGGGTTTTCTGCAAGAAGGAAAGCCTAAAGCATCATTATATCTTTTCGAGTGTATGTCAAGCTATAAGACATGATTTTGAATGCATGCATTGCGTGTTAAAAATGCCATGACCTGGTGTTGCAAATACTGCAACACATTACCTAGAGTGTCAGATCACAGCTCCAAACATAACCGATCCGAGTTGGTCTTTTAACCTTTATTAACCTTTTGGACGTACCGCTGTGCACGTTACAGCAAAAGCACTAGATTTTTCTTCGATCATTCTAACAAACCACACCAGTGGTCAAGTATAGACTACAACATGCTTAACATGTTTTTCATCACTGCGAGACATTCCTTGATTCGTACACATTGTTTCTTTCACCATTAGTGCCAGTAAAACCTGCCAAATGACCCAGAAAGTCGCTAATAAATAGGGCACAAACTGAAATGCTATTACAGGTGCCAAGGACACATACCAGTGGAACAAACTTCCCCTATGACTGTTGACTATTTACAGTTAATGTGAATCAGTTCCTGATCTAAATTTCGGCTATGAAACACATCTATCTACACCCTCCCTATGTAGGCAGCCACTGCCATTGCAGTGGTCAGTTGAAATCTAAAACAAAAAACAGGAGCACACATTTCCATTCAGGCATGATGCACATACCTTAGAAACAGGAAGGACCTGACAGCGATGTGTGGAAGTGCATTCATTGAGCAAACATATGTGTGAGTTCACTTTTTTGGAAATCCCCAGCGTAGGATAACATGGGGTCTAATGAAACAGATCGGCTCATAGTTTTTCACGTATAGACCTGGACAAATTGTAGAAGTGAGGAAAGCACCTGCAGAGTTTGTCTCCTATGTAGCTATACCTGGCAATACCTGAAAAACAAGTACAGAGTAACAGCACTTACATTTTCTGAGAAAGAAATTGTGTACATACAGTTTGCCTTCAAAAACTGATTGGGCTTAAAGTAAAAGCAGCATCATGAATTTTTTTTTTCTTTCTCAAGAAGATAACAAATATGACACTGTGCAAATGTGGAGAAAAACAAGTAGCTGAATATCTGCAACTCAGAAATAGCTAGGAGTCCACATTTGAGCTGTACTGTTTGAGACAAGACCTGGGCGATAAATAAATTTATTTGGATTTACCCTTTAAAACAATGCACAAAATGTCTGAATCGTTAAATCAGGATTTAGACTACAATTATAGATATACTAATAAATAGATAGATATACAGGTGCTAAGGACTCCAAGTCACTCATTTACATAGAATGTGGAGAATACTTTTCCCACAGTATCCCGTATGAGAAAAAAGGGAGCCATAGTGATATTACAGATCCGCCAGTGTTTCAGTTAGCCAAATATATGGTGTCTTTTGTTTTGTTTGTTTGTTTTTAAGAAAATAAAGTGTTTTATTTTTAGGTTATATCACACAACCCAAGCAAAGACAACTCAGGGCTGCAAGCAACACGCAGAAACACACACATATTCAAAAGTTGCAAAGAAACCCCTGAAACAGACAACGTTTAAGTCAGCGTGGGACGGGGGATATCAATCAAGGTGATTTCCTGCATCAACATGCTGGACAATATGAGGAAGTCCTCTTGGACCGGTGAATTTGTGTGTGAGTGTGTGTGTGTGTGTGTGTAAACCTGCCTGGCCTTACTGATCAAGGATTATTTCCTCATCAAGGCCTGCAAACACTGTGACCAAAAATGTTTAAAAATCTGCAACAAACAGGTGAATGTGTCATAGAAAAACTCTTTTGAAATGTGTTGCTTGGAAGAGTTGGGATAAATATAACATCCCGCAGGGTGAATGAACAGGGTGAAGATTTATGCAGCTGGGGGTAGTGTGCTAAATCCATCAGGCAAGAGGAAGACAGATAGGAAGAGGTAGAGATACAAAGGGGTTTCCCAAAGTGTGAGAGTGTGTTTGAGTGTGCATGTGTGGTATGGTCCCTTCTGGGGGGCCTATGATGCTGAGATCTGGGTCAATTGGTTCGTAAGGGGTCATTTGAGGGTGTGGCATTTAGGTTGGACACAGAAACAAGTGTTAGTGAAAGGTCTAGTATTGGTAGCAGTGTAATATAATACTCTTAGGTATGTTTTCATTAGCGTGTAATCTCCCGGAAACAAGATTATTGCGTTTTCGTTACCTTACAATAAGCTGTTTTTATCTGCAGAGGGAGGACCCCCATGTTGCGACAGTGGCCCAGAACGGACAAACCAAACACTGACTCTAGATAGGGCCATTCACATGTTTTGCTGCTACTGCTGTCACTCCTGCATGCCTGGAAGGCTGAGTTGTATTCAAATGGATGCAATCTGCAACTTCACCCCTAAATCCTACACACTGGTGCTTTAAAGAGACACAGACCCACTGTGTGGTCAAACATGAGCACATTCATATATCATGCAGAAGATGCATGTAATTTACTGCACATGCGACTGCTTACACATTACTGACACTTAAAAAGAAAATGTTTTTCTGCTTTCCTTGAGCCTTGCACTTAGAGTATATCCAGTGCTTATGACCAATTACTGCAGAGATTTCCATCAGTGTTTTAGAATAGTGATTACATCCATTATTCATGCATCAAATACTTCTAAATCCATTCTTATCGGGGATAAAAACAACGAACAAAGACAGCATTGTCACCACAGATACAGCTGTGGCCTCTGGCAGAGGGCCTGTGGGTAACCCGAGGTCTGTGGGGAAGCGCTGAGTATGAATGATTTATTTTTCACTCAAACTCTTAATGAATAAAAAGTCATTTTTGTTATACAGATGGTAGGGTATCAGCAAATTTAGTCATTTACTTGCAGTTATAACTTTGGCTTACAACTCCTTGCCAGTTGGTGAAGAAAACTTCTGGGCTGTGAATTTCTGCATTTCTGCTTGTTTCAAACTTTATTTTTTTGCTTCTTTAACCTTAAATCTACAGATTACCTCTTTTCAAGAACTTGCTAAGGTACAGATGCCATGTGGTCTGCAACTGTCCTTTACACAGATGGCATGGGTTCAAGTCTCTGTTTGTGTTCAATCAAGTGCAACACAGCATATTTTCTTAACATTTAAACCACATAGTGAAAGTCTTATGCAAACTATAAGTCACTCTTTAATTCAGAAAGCACAAAGTAAAGCACGGTCGTCTGCAACACACTCTCTAAGCAAATATTCTGGATATCCTGCAACTGACGTGTGTGGAAAAACAGACGTTGTTTCCAGACATTCCGAGGAAAAAGTAGAAAGTGTGTAGACAAATGTGAGGATTCCTGTGAACCGTCAGCCTCACCACACGGCAGACCTTATTTAGCCACTGTGGGCATAATGGGGCAATGCAGTAATGTAGGAGTAACCTTTTACAGGAGGTCACTGGTTGTAAAGTGATCCAATTGCTACAAGCACAGGATGTACCAAGTACGTCATAGACATGATCACAAATAGATCCATCCCGCACACATACACACACACACACACATTTGGCATGAAATAAACTTAGCCACGACGGACACTGCTCTCCAAGGAGTCCACAGGCATGTTGCCATTTGTTTTCACATTACTCAGAGCACAAACAAAAGGGTGGCGTCCCAAATTAAAGAGAGTCTGCGGCTGTCGGCATTTTAGGAGCTGCAGTATGTGTTGTTCTGTAAAAACTTTAGGGAACGGTTGTCATTTAAAATGTTGGGTTAGGTCGTAGGGAATGGTTTATGGGAAAATGCAACAAAAAGCAGCTCCAAGGGCAATATCTGCCTAAAAGAAGCAAATGTAGTCTAAAGGTTTTAAAACAAAGCCCTCGGGCTGGAACTAATGATCGCTTTAATCTGATTTAATCAAATCGAACCATTTAGTCTATAAAATGTCTAAAAACACCTTAAAATTGTATGTTTTCTTCGTCTAACCGAGAGATATCAAATTTGCTATCACATAAGATAAAGAAAAGCAGCAAATACAAACAACTCAGAAGCTGGAGCTAGGCAATGTTTGACATTTTTGCTTAGAAAATTATAAAACAATTAGCCAATTATTAGAATAGTTGCACCTTTCTTTTCTGATTGACTAATCGATGAAGTGCCTCATCACTTTAGCTCTACGAAGCCGCTAACACAATGTACTGACTGATACAGAGTGCGTTGAAAACACTGTATGTAGTTTGAGCCTGACCGTACACACTAGTATGAAGGTTTTTGCTGCGCACTTTGTTTAGAAGGCATCATGTCAAGTGACTAAGTGATAACTTGAATGAATTAGGTCATCTGACTGAGCTGAAGTGGTCAAAGCCTCAGCTGAGACATATGAGTCTGATGTCACCATAGCCTAAAGACATGGTGGAGTCTGTCTGATCCAAGGGCCCTAAACTACTCTGTCCTCTTAAACCCAGAAGGGGAAAAAAAGGACTATAAAATTGTGTTGTTAATGTCAGTTCTTTTCATTTTGTGTTTGCAGCATAATACTCCACAGCACAGGTCTGATTAGGTTTGTTCTCAGATAACAACAGTTAAAACTAATTAATTAAACTAAATAAGTGTTGGCTGAATTTCTGGTTTTTAAATCCCAACCACAAGCCAACTCAAGCTGAATGTCTCTGCTCATGTTTGACAAACTGCTTCTCCAACTTCAGCATTCCAACCAAACGCGGAACACTTTCTGGCCGCGCGCAAGTTTAACTATGTGCCTGATCCTCTGACACCGCTGGCCTCATGTGGGCTGAGTTTCTTGGCATCACTTCTTGATCTACTGATTAACAGGAGAACACAGATATGTTTAGTGTTAAGACGCCTTTGGGATACCCCTCCAAACATTGGTCCAGACATCGCTTTTAAGTGTCTAACATTTTGCGGAGGACTGAAAGGTCTTTGTATGGAAAGGTCACAGTCTTGTGACGGTGACCCTCATGGGGTGGATTCACGCCCTTCCCATCCATCAGGATCTAATTTTCAGAAAACATCAAGGAGATGATGAACTGACCTGAAGGACTACATCGTAAAAATAGCAACTTTAAAAACTTAAGTGTGATAAAAAACCCAATTTCTCTCTAACGTTCATACTGTACAGTTAGTGAATTCTTGTTGGTCCAAACTAATTTTGAGATTTCCTTTTCTCTTAAAAAAAACTTCAAGGCCAGGTGTCTTGTGTTTTGAGATGTGTTTGAGGAACCGTTTCATCCTGTCAAAGTCTGCTGACCTGACACTTAATTGCTACAAAAACAGGGTGTTAGTTTTTTTTTTTTCAAACTTTAAGTACTAGTGTGATCATTATCATTGTTACAAGGTATGTGTGCTTTGGGTTATATATTATTTTTTCTGTTGCTTTCCTGGGATTTTAATCCCTATTGTGTGTTTCGTGGTGCACCTGTCATTATCTCACCTGAACAACTATCCAAACAAGTAGTTTTTCTGCATTATCTCACAATGATGATGATGCAATGATCAAGTCATAGCATCATCTCAGAAATTGTATCTGAGTGAATTACCGTGTGGTCATGAGATATTTCTGCCTGGTGATCACAGGGCCTAATGATATGGTTACCGCCACAATGGAGATCAACTTTAACAGCATGTGGACTGTAACTCATATTCCTCATCGTGTCTGACAGAATTATGATAACTGTTGTTGATAGTTTCATATTGTTATTTCATGTCCCATACATTCCAAGTTATTTCCTCTAGAACCATGTTCAACATTAGATTAGCAGCATTCAGCTAATAGATTTAAGACTTTAAACCACTATGTCACTGTTTCTAATGACTCACCTGATTGTTGACGTCACAAGTCTGATTTTGAACTAGATTAGAGATTTGGTCAACAAGGCGTTGTGTGCAACGGTGGAATGCTTCAACACCTAACTTTTGAGATTCACATGATCTGTAAAGATTTAATATGATGTCCCCATACTGTGGGTTGATGCCCATAAAACTAAATGATCACTGGCACATTTTATGAACAAAAATACACTTACAAAAAGGGACACACACCCAGACCCACACACACGCACACAGACTGAAGCCATCCTGAATCCCCTTAACCCCAAAGTGGTACCAGGAAGCTGGGATCATAAACAAGGAAGCTGGAGGAAATACAGCTGGCTCCTAAACTCCCAACAGACACAACAGAGAGCCAGGGCTTCAATCAGATCAGACACTGTTATCAAGCCCTTGTTATTATCTCAGGAGGGAAAAAATAAACCGCCGTCCCTCATGTCTTAGGACATAGGACATCATGTGTTTTTAAATAGCTCAGATGTAACAGAGCCCATTCACAAAAAAGAAAGAAAAAAAAGATGAGGGGTAAAAAGTGAAGCCTCTTTAAAGGAGATATTTCAGGCAGGTGCAGTACAGTGAACTACACTGCCATATCTTATCTGCACAGTGCAGTCAGTGGCACAACGCTGTTTACCACTACTACTGCATCAGATAATAGGCTACGGCTCATCAGTGCAAGACGAAAACATCATTAAGACAATAGGAGCAAAAAACAAACAACAACTAATACAAACAGGACAGATCAACTCAGAAGGGTAGGAGATGTCTTTAGCTCAAATTTGCCCTTGTAAGTTTATATTAAACTTGAATAAATGTAGGTAAAGTAACGTTAGGCTATTATACATTTCATCATCCGCAATTTCAGCTAGACAACAATTTATAATCGTCGAAATCAACTTTTCCGTAAGAAAGAAGGCAGTAAACTAGAAAGTAGAGATGTAAAGACGTCCACAATTGCTAAAACATATAATATTTCTGTCTTTGTGAGAACTTACCTGCAGTTAAAGTTGTACAAACAGCCCCACTGGCCTCACAGTGAAGTTACTGTATCGTCTCTCTGTCGGTGGCACTTGTTCCACTCAAGTGACAGCAAGTCCAGTCCTCTGGCCACGCCCACCGCCGCAACCGACCAATGGCGTGTCTCTACGCGCTTACTAGTCAGAGAACTTATCCTTATGTGTTTATACAGGTAGTTTATATGATAGATAGATAGATAGATTACCTGAGTGAATGTATTTAGTTACATTACACCACTATACTGGCTGTACACAATTAAACAAAATTGGTAACATACATAAGAACTTACAAGATGGACGTATATTTTAATGAAGATTCAATTTTAGATCTATTACATATTATACACATACATCTATAAAATTAAAATTGCATTTGCAACATTTCCATCGGAGAAGGCATGTAAGAGAGGACAGTGGTGCCAGGTTGCATATGTATCTAAACATAAAAGTACCTCATTTATTTAATCTAACGATCAAGTGCTTAGATTCCTTAAAATATATTTTTATGCAGTTTTTCAGTCTCGGTGATCAGGATATTATCCCTTTACAGCAACAAAACATAAGATTTTCATCAAAATGTCATAGTTACAATAAAATATACAAAGTGCAAGGAATCAGTTATCTTTTTTTTTTTTTACAAAAGAAAACATGCATCAGAATGTATTTTTCAGCACCATATCAATTTTATATTTTATAAATCATCTGTGTTACAAGAGCTAAAATATGACATAGACAGTTCCATTATAGTTAGTACAATGTAAGACTTTAAATAGGCCGACTCTGTGTTGTTAAACTTAAAGTAATCTGTACGTCAACTTAAGTCTTTGGTCACCAGAGCCCTCTGCTGGTTATATTTATAACTCCAGTTAAACCAGTGACGTCACTGTAGCGCCTTCGGAGGAAAGTTATTATTAAAAGCCCACGTATAACAGACATAAAACATTATGGTGTAACATTCAAGTTATCACATGCAATACAATATTTTACAAACATAATATTCACATATTGTTGAAGTCCATAGTGTCCATTCTCAGATATAATCACACTGTCCAATAATGACCCGTGATGGAGGCATTACATATTAGTCTGGTCAACAGGTGTAAAACATCTCTGTGGTCCTGTATGTCTATGTAGGCTCATCCAGCCTACATAGGTTCATAAACTTTCACTCCAACATGATCTATTTTTACATTCCGTCTCTTGGTGGGCCAGGCGTATTACAACATGTTGGTGTTGCTTGTTTTGGGTGCCTTCTCCTCTGAGATTCTTTATTGTACACTTTCTGATGTTACTGTGGTCACTTCTCTGCCAACAGGGAAAGAGGAACTAAAACCTGTGGAATCAAAACTGAACAGTTTCCTTAACAGCAATGAATGATTGCTTTGTACAGAAAAGGCTGGACTCTGCACCATTAGAATAGTTGTATCTCTCTGTTTTTCAGTTCCACATCTTTGTACAAACGAACACCGGCCAGCCAGGTCTGCAGTTTCCTGAATACCCCTCAGTCCTCATCTTTCAAACAGTTGTGTGCCACTGCCGTTTGAGGCCGGCATCACGTGAACTTGACCCCAGCAGCTTCAAGACACCAGGCGGAAATTTAAAAAACTTTATTTCCTGTGTACTTTCCCTCTGCTGTGAGTTTCTGTTATTCAGAGAATATAAATAACATTGCACGTAATCACGTAATCCTTCCTTTCAAACCACTCAAACCAGTGGTCAACAGTCTCAGGGAAGAGCCCCACTGAAAGTGACTATGGGCAGACACAGGAGGGAACAGAAGGTGGGGTTGAGAGGCTGGATTTGGGCTGAGGTCCGGGATTTTCTTAGCCTCCAGTCAGTGGAGCTGTCAGGTTTATAGCACACTGAGATGTCACATCTGCATAGGACAGAAGAAGACACGTGGAATAGATAAATAACCACACTTGCGAGGGTAGTGAGTTGTGAGTGGATGGTGTAAACATTTTTTCAGATTTATGTACAGTATGTTCTCTGAGATGAAACTGGGTTGTGGCTGCAGAGGATGCAGGTGAAAAGGAAATTGCTACATAAAAACAACAAGCAGAAATAATTTTCTCAGAGACGGATGACATTTTAATTTATAATCATGTTGAAGCTACTACCCCTTGAACAGAATCATTCAAAAAAACATTAAAGCAATTACATAGTCAGTGGTGTACCACTTCTTTGCAGACACCGTGTATGTCTACATCAATTCCTGTGTTCCATACCTGGTGACACTCTGCAGTATTTTTTTCTCATCCTGGTCCAGACACACAGCAAAGGTTGTGTTTCCAGCACCGCTGACTTGCACCTTGTCCACCTTCACCTCTGTCACACTCAGATGCTACAAAAAGAAGGTCAAAGTAAACTTAATGCATTTGAAAAATGCTAAATTGTGGATAACTTATTCAAGAGTGTGCTAATATGTATTTGCACAGTTACGTAATATTTAATATGATATTCATTTCCTTTTTTTTTTTTTTGCAGCTTGTCTAAGTTGTTTTATTTTTGAAGCACTTGCTTTTGTGCCTGAGTCGTAAAGAGAGCCTTGAAAATCAGAACTGCAAATCTAAATGAGGTTAAGAGATTAAGCTGCATTGTTGAGCAAATAATATTATCGTCAAAACAGTCACGAGCAAAACAGACGTGAGTGTACTGTGGCTTTTTGTTCCATCAAGCTGTCAGTTTTAAAAACTTTGTTCTCAGCCTACGTGAGATGAGAGACTCAGTGGATATGAGTTTGAGATGCTATCAAGAATGTATTGAGGTATCAGTCTTTATATAGAGAACGTGTCGCAAGGTTGTTTGTGAGAATGCGCTGCTGTGTCGCTTTTTCAACCACAAACCTCAGAGACACTCTGATGTTACATCTAGCTCACCTGGTTGTAGCCCTTCTTGCTTTTACCGTTCTGTCTCTTCAGCACCTCAGTCATTGTGAGCTGCAGACACTCCATCTTTGAGTCTGAAAGAGATTGTTTTAGTTCAATTATGAATACACTTGACTGTAACTGCTTTATTTTTTCTAAAATGCAGGTATTCAAAGAAAAATATTAAGTTATTTCCATTTAGCATTAACTGGAGCAACAGTATTATATATATTATTATATGTAGTTCCAAAGAGAAGTAATGAAAAATATCACTCTTCACCATTAACAGGAAGCATTATGTTATGTTGATTCTGTCCACGCAGCTAATGAATTGTCTCAACCAAACACAGTTCCGTGACTTACCTAGTTCCTCAGGATTCTTGCATGCTTTGGTTAAGTTCACTGAAGTGCAGACTTTGGTGTCTCTTTTCCACTGGCTTCTTCCACTAATCACCACCTGAATGGGAGAAGGGAGAATAAGATTATTGCTGTTTTTAAAATACATTAAAATAATTGGAAATGAGACAAACCTTAAAGATTATAACGGCTGCCTAAATACCACAGGAATGTTGAGTATAACAATATTTCAAACTGAGAATAAATCAATAAAATAAAATGTATTTTATGAAAGATAGGGGACTGATAATATATTAAGAGGTTCAGTAAGAGTGACATGTTTACTGCTCTCTAATGCTTCATACCACAGGGACTAAAAAAGGCAAAAGTTCTAGCTTTGTCAAGACAGTCTGTTCAGCAGACTTTGTATTTTATCACAACCGTTTGATCATGTCATTTTCTGTGGGTGCAGAAGGGTAAATGGGGAGAACCAAAGGATTGGAGGGAGGTTTTTTTCTACTGATAAAATGGTTTTATTTATGAACGTAATTCTTGCAAAGTGCAGCTAAAAGACACATTTTGATAGTGAGCAAAATCAAACACCATCTTACCCTGTTGTACACCACCTCCAATGTTAGAGGCACTGCTTCTCGGTCACCGTCAATACCAAAACGTTTACTTGCAGCACCTTTAAAAAAAGAGAAAAAGACAGTGATCCATGTGAACTGATTGTTTAGTTAAACAGTTCAAAATTGTGCAAAATAATGTGACAATACTGTTAAACAGGACAGGTGAATTTTTAGCATTGTGACAGAAGTTTTCACATAATGCGTTCAGTGAAGAAGGTATTCAATTTGCAATAACAAAAGCTAGATTATTTTTGCAGTTCACAATATTGTGACAAACAGAACTAAGTAATTTCCACAGTAACAACCGGACATGAGGTATGAATAGTTTTCTCTGAATTTTTACTTCTAAAAGGAAATTAAAATTCAGAAGTGCTAGTGGTGACGGCTGAAACCAAAAAAGTAGAAGTAGACTGACTCATCATATAGAAATAGCAGATGTTCCTCTACCATAAATTGTGTGCAGTCTTAACCTCATAAAACTGATGATGCATTCACTCCATGGAAAATGTGGAGGATTTTGTTTATTGTGGCATGGTTGCTTGGATATGTGTGCGTGTTTGCCGTGTGAGCACACTCACCCATGGCTTTGATGGCTCGTGTTCCTGCGGTGTGACCCAACTCTAGGGAGTGGACGAACACCTCGGTCCTCCTCTCTCCACAAGCTAACGTCAACTACAACAGCAAAGATCCTCAGTCAATCACTGAATTTGGAACAGTGTTTCATTACAAAGAACCAGAGAGTCTATTTCTGTCCACAAGGGTGCCAAAGTATGGATAGCAGGGCTTAAACAACTCAAGAAAAGAGCTTTAAGGCAGTGATGTATTTAGTGTATTATAGCTGTGTGTGTGTGTGTGTGTGTGTGAAACTGTGTCTGACCTCAGCCTGATAGAGCTGGATCAGAGCTGGCCGGGCAGCATAGCGGCAGTAGTACAGGACCAAGTCGGCCAGGATGGGCAAACGCTGCTCATATGAACTATCATAAGACTCTGACTCCGTCTTTGAGGTTTGCTGCAGAGAAATACAAAACAATTGAACAATTCATAAAATCATACAGTAGGATGATATATGTAAGTATAGCCTAAACAAAGACATTGGAAAGGTATTTAAGTCAACAATTGGAATACACATTGATTGTGTAATAGACAAGACTGGAGATCAGTCATGTTCTTAGTTGGATCGTGATCAGTTGGATGGATCAGTTTTGGTTAGGCAGTGTAAAAGTTAAATTCCAGTTGTACCTGGCAGACGACGTTGGCAGGCAAGTTAAGCAGGCTAAGGGTGTTTCTTTCGTACCAAGGGTCCAACATACCAAGGAGATGGGCAATGTCGTTAGTACTGTCCCCTGTGGCCGTGAGGTGAAGATCCTGCTTGAGCAAAAGTTACCAAAAGTTATAACTACCAGACAGTGAAAGTCTCATATTGTAGCATATCTTTTGGCTTTTACACAGTAGCCATGTTAAAATCTGTACTGTACAACTCAGCCTTTTGACAGATTAGTAAATATGAATAAACTGTTTGTTGTGTTTAATGTATGTAAAGTTTGAAGTTTGATTTGAGTATTCTTCTACTTACATTAGACAGGGCAGCTCCTTTGAGAGTTCCAGTCTGAACCACTGGACTAGGGGATTTCAGACCCCCTGGCCCTGCTGCAGAGTCTCTCTTCACAGGCACAAAGTAGAACTGAAGCTTAAAGGCCCTGCTGAGACGTGGACATGTACTCTCCTTCCTCCTCAGGCTATTGTAGGCCCGGGCCAACTTCCCTGCTACATGATCAGCACCGAACACCACCACCCTCAGTGTAGTATTCTTACTGTCCTCATCACTGCTGAGAATAGGCCTCCTTCGGAAGCAGACATGTCTGAGAGTTTGACTTTGTGGGTGGAGTAGGGGCTCGGGACTACGTAACTTGACTTGCTGTGGTAGAGAGTTAGAGCGCTTCTCTCGCACCACTAAAAGGTCTTTTGATTCTGTGTTTCCTAAGCTTTTGGCCCGGGACAGAGACCGAGGGCTCTTGGGTTTGATGAAGAGCCGGTACAAGTGCTGGCTGAGCCGAGCCGAAGCTTTGTTGACAGACTTTGGTGATCCTTTGTCAGCGATGGGAGAGGAGCAGATATAGTCATCAGAATCTTCAAAGTAGTCACTATCAACTCCAGAGGTGACAGAGAAAAGGGACGGAGCATAGGACTCTGAGGTTACCGACAAGGTGGAAAACATGGAGTCTTTGGAGGCAGTAGACAGGGAGGAGATGGTGGAGAAGGTGGAGGCACGGTGGTTGGCGCAGCCATTAGGGATGATAGACATCGACGGCAGTTCCACTCCATGTTCCTCATCTTCTTTGTCCTCTTCCTCCTCCTCTTCTTCTACATCCAGCTCTGTCACATCATCCTCGTCATCATCATCAATGTCTACCTCCTCGTCCTCCTCAGTATGCCCATTACTGGCCAGGTCATCGGGGTCATGCTCCAAAAGGGTGTTCAGAACATCTGCAGAAATCAAAATAGACAAATATCAACATTTAGTAATCAACAAAAGACACAAAAACTGCTTTAATAAATTGTAATTCTGTCCTTCTGATGCATATAAAGTATAAAGTTTGCAGAATACTTTACCAAAGTTATCTTTTTCCCAGTGAAACATGTAACATTTGGCTGTAGGCAAGGGTAGAGTTTGTAGCATTCCTGAAAGGGATGAGAGAAAAGAGAGCAAAATAAACTGAAATATCATTATGTGATTCACTGTGTATATAACCCCCAGTTCATGAAACCTCCCCAATTACCATCAGACTTTCTTCCACTGGATGCTGGGATTCTCATCCTCTCCCTCAGTTGCTCAAGTTCCTGGATCACATGACTGCGGCCCATCAGAGGATCACTCATGGCAGCAGCCGTCTCTAAGACGTCACTTACTTCGGAGAAGATATCCCCAAGTTCATTCACAGTTTTTGCCTGCAAAGAGTATTCATGACATTTTCAGGACACTTTCTAATGGTTTGTGTTAACTTCAAATGTATGGATGTAAGATACAGTAGATGTAATGCTACACATTTCCTTAATATTATTATTGTTGCTTACATGTTAGTATAATGCATATAATATCTTCAAATATTATAAACTACCAGTATTTATTTCAAATACATATAAATAGGGTTTAAAGCTAAATGCAGTTTTTACTGATTGGTCAGATTTAATTTTAACAGGTTTGTATACAAATAACGATTGATTCCACAACATAACCATATTCCAAAAAAGGACATTTTAAACACAAATTATACTCAAAATATAATAAAATTTTCCTTAAAAACTATCTATAGATTTTAGTCCATTGTCCAGAGCCGCTCTGAGCACATACCTGCAGGGCTATGTGGATGCTATGTAGAGGGTACTTGGTGCCAAGTGTGGACTGGAAGGTGTGTTTGATCAGTGTGATGTAGGTCTCTTTCTGCGAATGCTGAATGCAACTGAGCTGCTTAGCCACTGAAAGAAAGTCGGGGGGCACCTCGTTTGGGTTCATCAGCAACACAGTCCTACAGGCAATAGACAGATGGTGTCACTGGTAAAGTGTGGCATGAAACGTGTAATTCACTTGGGTGAAGATGCAAATAGGATGATATGGTTGTGGTGTGTGGATGGAGAAGGGGATAAAACGGGACTTTCCTACTGTAAGTGCTCACTACGGAAGGGCTATTATTCAGTTAACTTAAAAAAAACAACTGATGTTTCAGTTTAAAAGTAGATCAGATAAGGTTACAGTGAACCACTGACATGAATGAAAAAAACTGCCCTTTCAATGAGGTTTTCAACAGAAGGTGCGAGGGTGCGAAGATAGCGCAGTCTGAACTTGACTGAAAATAGATTGTCATGAACACGCAGTTGTTCAAAGAATTGTGAAAACAATGTTACATGTGGGCTCATGTGGGCTCACTTTCTAAGTCACAGATGAGCTGTGACACACTGAAGAGCTTTTCATTTTACTATAAATCTGATATTGTGTAAACATAGAGTTGATACAGTATATTATACAATTTTGTAGTCTATAAAAGGTACATTTTGTTTTATTGTGTGGACTTACATGGTCTTGGAGCACAGACTGGAGGTGATAAGGCCTTGCTCTTCTCTCACCAGTCTCTGAAAAGAAATCCCTGTGAGGAAAATACAGAAAGAATTTAATTTTATCTGATGGTTATCTATGGTTTTTAAACTAACAACTTTACAAGAACACAACAACATTCAGGTATAAATACATATATACACGTGTGAAATAAATAATGGGTCTGGAATTACAAAAAGCAACTAAGGGCTTGTGGTATACTGTGTCTTTATGCCTGAGGGAGCTTAATGAAACACAGCAATGAATTTAAAACAGCTACCTAAAAACACATAAAATCACCATTTAACACGTATTCATTCAGCCAACTGAGATGTATTCATTCAGCCTGTTTCAGTTGTGTTTTTAGCACTTCCTTTGACCCTTCCTGTAAATTTCAGTGTAGGTAAGTGGCTTCTGCTTTTTTGTTTTGTAAATGCTGAAGCTTCATCCGCTTTCAAATAATTTCAGGTTAGTATGAAGAAGTGCCTTGTTTAAACTGAAGCCTTCATGGTATGTGTGACATAAGCAGTGTCCTTTTGCGTATGGGTCATCCTAAATGCATTTCTTTGACTTGTCACTAGGGGGAAGACAATCACAAGGGCTGAGAGACAACAGTAAGCGAGTGACACACAGACCCAGTGGATAAATAGAAACACACACACATAGCGGCCCTTAAAGTCTTATATTTTTACCTGGGGCCTTAATCTCAAGCTGTAGTGTGGAGAGGAGGTTTCTACACACGCTGCTGTAAGGCTCAGGCCAGGTGAGGAAGCAGCGAAACACCTCAATAGCTTCCTCCAGCAGCTGTGTGTCTGGAGGACAGTATGGTGTCTGCAACAAAAGCACAAATATAAGTATAAGTATTAAGGTAAAGGTATTATAGTTGTGTTACGTTAAGGAGCAACCTGTTTCTCATGTTTCGTGGACAATACATTCAATTATGTTGTTTGTATGTGGTGTACTTTGCAGATATGTATGCTGATAGTTGAGAACACTGGTAACAGAACACTAGTGTGGACTACAGATGCAACTATGTTCATTATTGATTAATATGTCTATTATTTTTTTTACCTTTTTATATTGATTTTGATGAGAAATAATAACTTTTCTGTTATGATATTTTTCTTCTTGTCATCTATTATTACACCATCAACTAAAACCACGTCACATACCGTATTAGGGAATTAAACCAGTTTAGTGTAATAATGTAATGTAATGTAATTTCATTGTCCACTGTTTTATTATACTGCAGGCTTTATGACAGTGTCATTACAAAACCTCAAAGCTGTAACTATCAGTTGCTACACAACTCAAACTGAACTGACAATTGCAAGTATTTTGCATTTCAGTCAAAGATATATATGTATAAAAATATATGTATATAACCATGTTCACCCACTGAAACAGTCAAACTGTGTTTGCTCTGACAACCCAATGTGTTTTCTCTACAGCCAGCCTGCTGTCTAACCAGTAATAAATCAATTAATCAGATTTCCAATGACATCATTTTTGTGAACCACCTGATTTTTGGGAGTGTGAATGCAAATCAGCCTGAATGAAAAACAGAAGCAATGTTTATGAACCAACTAGTTCTTGTCCAAACAGTAATACTGAGAGTTTTTTTTTTTCAGCTGTACTAGAAACTTTTGTCACAGCAGCACCATGGTGGTTTGAACTAAGGAACTAATTGACCTTTTGATGGAGTGTGCTCTGATACATGTGAAACACTGGTACTGAGGGGTGAGGAAAGGTTAAAAGTTTGGATGATTTGTACCTGAAGCAGCGTGGAGGCAAACATGATGGCGAGGGGAGCCACCAGCTCATACTGACACTGCTCCTGAACCTGAACACACACGGACACACACACATTGAGAGGGACAGACAGAAATAGATTCAGTAATTATAGTACAGTTCGACAATATATTCTCATTGACCATGACCTTTGACCTGTGTCCTCTCACCTCTTTGGTCTTCCTTATGATCTGTTGTAAGAGGATGAGGAAGTTTTCAGGGTCCCTCTTCACCATTTCCTCCAGGCTCCAGCGGTTCATCGACTGACCCGCAGAGCACATCAGCACTGAAAGGCAGCATGTGTGGATTCATGTTAATGCACGAATTCAGCATGCACAGAAAGCCACGCGTCAGAAACAGAAACAGAAATCACATGTTTTATATCGCCACAATACTTTTGCAACCCCAAACGACAACCGCTGTGTGAAAAAGCAGACAAAACATTTCTGAAGGCAGAAAAGCTCCTTTTACTGGAACCTCTCAAGTTTAAAGTATATACTACTACTACTACTATTATTATTATTAATAATAATAATAATAATGACATAATATCTAATTTATGTTGTGTCACACTGTTTGTACTTGTACAGAGGGAGTGTCTTTCTTGGATTATAATCTAAAATAACTAATTGTTTAATCTGTAGTTATACCTGTATATGGCTGGCATAAAATAATAATATAATAGTATATAATTTGCTATAGTTATAATCACTGCTAAATGTGGCTGATGTACAGTATATTCTGACAGGCTAATACAAGAATGTTCTCGTCTGCAATACATTGGTAGTAAATATATAGTAAATATAATGTGTTTGTATTTCTGCAAGCAAAAATGCACACTTTCTAAGGAGATGTCGCACTTAAAAAAGAATAAAAGCCAAGTTTATTTGAGACTGTCCAAATAGACTAGAAACAAAAACATTGATAGAGAGTGCAAATTTCCAATCTTTCACAGTAAAATGTATTTTGCCCCCAGTGCCAACATTGGGAAGCAATATTTGTACAATTTGAGAGCACAGGCCATGTTAGCTATTGTATTGGTTATGTTGGTTTCTGAGCATGCTGTATGTAAGTAACCACAAGGAAACAGCCCGAGGTGAAATTTCTGAAACGTCACCCAGTGAGTTTGCATAGAGTGATGGCCACTAAATTGCAAGCTTCACCCAGTGACAAAGAATAGACCAAAGCCATATATCCAATATTCATAGGGATGTAAACACAATTGTTCCCAAGATGGGCTGTTGTTCAAGGGTTAACATTCAAAACCTTACTGGCAATGTAAACTGGTACATGTAGGCACTGTGGGAGAGGTTTTATGAGTTTAGACTGGAAAAAACAGATGTAGATTGCATATAGCTGCCATACACTCAGTGCATCCACGTAATTAGTGTAAATGTTTCTTTGACCATGAATGTATTGTAAGCTCGGTTTTATGTATACAACTCCTTTAACTTTACTGCACATCTATTTCATGTGCAGACATTCAGCTAAAGCTGTATATGACCACAAAACAAGAGATTACACAAAAGTTTATAATCTATTGTAAATTGACTCCAATGAACTCCTGTTCGGGAGGCATTTCATTTCTGTTGTGGAATTTAGCAAATCATAGCCTAAAGGAATGAAAGGCATCATCATATATATATACAACACTAGGTTAATGAAGTTATAACTCACAGCAGGGCTTCAAAGCTCTAGCTGTCTGTGCTGGTACACTTCAAGGGTGTGTTTTATCACCTTTCGTGTTTCAGTTAGGATGTTTGTACATTAAAAGGACAGATTTCCTGTTGCTGCAAAAAACACAGTTAAGGTATCCTCCCAAGAGGATGTGTTTTGGTACTAAACGTTTCAAAAATGAAGAGGAAAAAAATTATTACCCAGGTTATATAAAGTGTGGATTTAAATTCCTTTTTTTCCCACTGGAAACTTTTCAGTAAAAGGTCCAATGTGTAAGATTTAGTGGCATCTAATTGTGTAGTGGCAGATCTCAACTCCGTCATTTAACCCTCCCCCTCCAAACGCAAAGGAAAGACTATGGTGGCACGAAAATCATGAACGTCCCTGTCTAGAGCCAGTGTTTGGTTTGTCCCCTCTGGGCTACTGTAGAAACATGTTGCCTCAACATGGCAGACTCAATAGAAGGCAATCTGCTGCACCTGACAGACATAAAAGGTTCATTCTAAGGTAAGGAACCCAAAATGATTCCTATATTCAGGTGATTATACACTAATGAAAACATACTATGAATATCATAATCCATTTCTGCCAAAAGACCTTCCTAAATGTTACACATTGGACCTTTCAATGTAAAAGCTTTGGGTTGGTAAAGGAGAAGTGTGGTTTCACCGAGCTCTGATAGCAAGTTTTCTATTACAGTGTGAAATGGAAACATAGATGACTAAGCAACGGGAGAGAGTTATGCATACGGTATCTCAAACCACACCAATCGGATGTCTATCATATTCACACAAAAACAACGTGAGTGATTGCTGATTCCTCACAAGCACCTTAGTTTCCATTTCATCCCTCGATCTCAACGACTCCGAGTGCATCTCAAAGGAGCTGCTAGAGATGTTCCGATACCATTTTTTCCCTCCCGATATCGATTCCGATACTTGTGCTGTGG